GTTAAGGTTCCTCTTCATTAGAGTAGAAGAAACACTGAAATGGGTTCACTGGTGGGTCCCCACGAAACTCCAGTCCTTCTCCACCCTAACCTGCTGAAGGATACTATCTGCCTAAAAGAGCTCAGCTGCATGTGCTGCGTGGCTGGAGAGCAGACTCAAGGCTGTTGGAGTTGGTGGAGTTGATTTCAACAGGTTCCCCGCCTTTTCAACCTTCTCTAACTCAAACCTGAGACCGCTCATCAGTTGAGATCAATAGGACTGCCCACAGGACTAAAATGTGGTGAAGATTATTGCTCACTGTGTGGAGAAAGGATGTAGTACTAACAAACACCTTTATTGATTTTAAACCATGTGGTGTTCCCTAGTTCAGACAACAGCTTTTTAGTTTAGGTATAGATTTTGTATACACACAATTAACTCTCCTAGAAGTTCCATTCTCCTTGGTTGAGGTATTAAAGAAGAGTACTGAATGGACATCATGGACTGCCAAAAGAACAAACGGGTATGTCTTGGAGAAAGCACAACCGGGCTGTTTGTTGATGGCAAGGATGACAAAGCTTCTCATCTACTCCTCGGAGAGACATCATGCTTGGAAAGGTGGAGGGTCAGCAAAAGAGAGGATGACCTTCCACGAGATGGATTGACACAGTGACTGCAGCAATAGATGAGTATATGTCATAGATGAGGACGGCACAGGATCAGACAGGGCTCTGTTGTTCACAGCATCTCTACAAGCTGTACTTGACTCAACGACACCTCACAACAGCAACATTGCTCCCCTTATAACTCCACGCCAGGAGCCATGCTAAGCTACACATTCTTTACTTTACAAGGTATAATTCGGAGCGGTAGTATTATCCTCATTTTCCAGATTTCAAAATTGAAGTTTGAAATTTAAGCTTGCTAAGACACTTATGTACCACAGTTGGTGGGTTGGAGGCCAGAATTCCAACCCTGGTCAACCTAATCCAGAAGTCACCTCTCTGCTGAGCTTCTCTGTCTATAACATGTTCCTCTGTCATGCTCCCTGCCTCCAGATCTTCTGGTTGCCCATCAATCAGTGCGTCCCTACTCTCCATGGATCTTACATCTCCTCTCCCTTTATTTCATCATTAAACTCAAAGGTCACATCTTGTGTTTCTGTGCCACCAGCTCGGTTCCAACTCTCACACATCCTATGTGTAACAGAGTCAATGCACTTCCTGCTCCTGTACCATGCTACTAATTGTTGCTACATGTGATCTCATTGCAGCCTTTGTGGAGGGTCTTACTGAGGGTCTCTCTTTTTCATTGATCTTCTACTCTACCAATAAGATGTCTTTTTCTGGGAACTTGTCCCTTCTGATAACATGGCCCAAGCAAATAAAATGAAGTTTCTCCATGAGGGTCTTCGTACCATCTAGTCTTCAAGGACAACATCTCTAATTTTCTCTGCACCTAAGTGCATGAGTCACTCCAATGTGGCAGAGAGTCCGGGCTACAAGTTCCCCAGTGTGACATATCAACACTTCACAGTGAGGAGAGGTATGTACTGATTCAAGTCAGTATCGCTAATATTATCATTGTTCCGACTTCTTGGTCAGTATAATACAGTATAACATTGCAAATAACACAGAGGAGAGCATGATATTGCTGTATTTATCCAAAGAGGGGACAGGTTTAAAAAAGTTGTGAAAGACTGGTCTATATAATTACCAATAATTTGTTCATTTTTCTCCAAGCTTTTTTTAATGTGTTCTTCAGAGTCTTAACAGGTAAGACTTCACTGGGCTACCAAAGAGCCAGGATTGGAAATCAACCATGAATTCTTTCCTTTGTGTTTATATGCAAGCTTTTCACCCAGTAAACAGTCCATAAGGAGGTCACTCAATATATTCTCAAGCATGGTTTCTTTTTTTGTTTCTGAGGGAGCATCTTACTGTTAAGGCTATTGTTAAGTATCCTTGGTGGCGTAGTGGGTAAAGAGTTGTGCTGCCAACCTAAAGGAAAGTGGTTCAAATCCACCAGCTGCTCCATGAGAGAAAGATGGGAAAGCTCCTTCCATGTGATTTACCACCTCTGGAAACCCTCCACAGAATCCTCTGAGTCCCCAGTTGAGGGAGTAGAACTAGCCCGAGCAGGGGGTCCCAGGCTGGCCCTTTTTATGCAAACAGATTGCCAGGGTTTGGGGTTTTTTTTTTCCTCCTTCAGAGTAGTTGCTGGTGGTTTTGAACTGTCAACCTTTCTGTTAGTGGCTGAATATTTAGCTATTTTGTTCCACTAGGGCTCCTCGCAGTTGTGACTTCCCAGCCTAGATGAAGGGCAGAGATCTCAGCTGATTTTCAAACACTCACAGGTGAAGGGAAGGAAAGAGACATTAAGAAACAGAAAGCAGCAATAGAAAACATGGGCTGAGCTAAAATTAACCATTGGGCCCTTTACAGGGGAAAATTATGTCTTCGATAATTCATAGCATCAATAAAATTGTTTTGGAGTATTTAATCTCCACAAGAAATAAAACCAAAGCTAAGCCTTCTTGAAGCACATGGTTGCTTAAACAACACTCCTCAATCTCCCACACGAGCTCTGATGGATGGCATGGTTTGTAGAGCTGCATTGCTAATCCAAAGGCTCAGCCCTCAGTGGTTCAAATCCAGCAAGGGATCCACAGGAGAAAGATAGGCAATCTCTCCCTGTGCAATTTACAGCCTCCGAAAATTCACTGAAGAGTCAGCTAGGAGTCTGACTTGATGGCAATGAGTGACCGAGTGACTGACTATGTTAGGCTTCTAGAGAACATCATTTCAGAATCAACCTAACTTGACCAAGGGGTTGTTCTTATCTACAGAATTCATCAAGAAGGTACTAGTCTAAGACTAGAAAGCTCAGGAAAGCCTTCTCAGCCGAGAGGTTACCAACGACTGGAATTTGTTACAGAGACTGTGGCATAAAGCCAAGTGCATTGTGATTGTTGTCAGCTGTTGCTGCATCACCACCAAGTTTCAGGTGACCCCATGCACAAGGGAGAAGAGCCCTGTTGGGTCCCTTAGCCTTTAGTCTGGAAGTTCCACTTTAACCCTGGTCAATATCATAGCAACAGGTGAGTTTCCAATGGCAGATGAGGTACATGGGCCAGGAATCGAACATTGGTCTATGCACTGAAGGAAAGAATCCTACCACTGAACCACTGATGCCTCTTCCTTGGGAGATGGCAAAATCGTGTATGTGTTCAAGGGGGGCGGGGGGATAGACAGGTGGAAAGGAAATTCCAGATGATGGTGGAAATAAAGTGGCGTGGTTTAAGCCATCACCCAGAGACCTCCTAGCTCAAGTATTCCCACTCAGGGTGATAGTGGAGACAGCTGAGTCATCTGGTCCAGGTCTCTTCTTCACCAGGATTTTCCAGTTCTGATCCACAAAGGAAACTAAGAGTTTGGATTTCAGAGGGGAGCTTAACTGAAGGTGTCATCTCAGTGCCATCGTAGACCAAAGAGAACATTTCTGATCGAGAAAGCAGAGTACAAGTTTATTTAGAATTCCAGCAAAGTAGGGTTGGAAGAGGTAACGCGATTACGTTGCTAACGCAGAAAAGTGTCTTGTCCCAGGTTAACATGATTATGTCAAGCTAGAACTTAGACCGGCACTCAGGGCTTCTAATGTCAGTTTATCTGTCCAGTCTCCTTGCTCCACTCTTTCCACTAAGGGCAGTGTGGTGGAGACAGAACTCTTGTGGACTTCGTAACTCTTGTGAAACTCGAGGGGCATGAAGAGGACGGACTCTCGGGAAGTTTGTTTACATTGAGGGCTTGGAGAGACTCCAGAGAACAGCCAGAACCAGAAAGAACCCGTCGGCACACGCAGACATTCAAACACATGAAATGACACTGACACAGAAACAGAATGGGAGCTGGGCAGAGCGGGGCCCCAGGCAAACCCACCACCTTACGGGGCCGCCCCTGCTAGTGCCAGGTGCAGGGCTTGCCACGAACCAGCAGAGGGCGCGCCGCCCCCAGGGAGCCGAGCGGCTGCAGCACAGAGCCGGGAGGGCTTAGGGGAGCCGCAGACGGAGCCGGGCGCGCCCCTGCGGCTCTGCCACTCAGGGCGCATGACCTGGGCTAGGAACAGAAGAAGGGTGAGGAGCAGACACCCCTCGTGGGCCCGAGGGGCAGACGAGCAGGAGTGCTTCCTAAGAATTACATCACGCAGCGAAACGTTGAGGGTTGCAGACTCCCTAGGGCTCACTGTGTGTCTGTGTGTGGTGGGGGACAAGGGACCGAGTGTGTGTTTGGGGGTTGGGGGAAGGGACAGAGACCGAGTCCCGGAGAGGAGAGGAAAGCGAGTCGCGTTCGGGGGAAGACGCTCGGTGCACATGGAGAAATTCCTTCCTCCAAACTGCACCAAGCAAGGAGTCCGCCACCTCCCCGCGGCTCCCCTCCCAGTGAAAAACACTCAGCTAGTGAGCAGCCCCCGCCCCATCTCGAGCACCCCCCAAAGCCAGCCCTGCACCCTCCAGCCCGGCTCCAGTGCCGCCGAGAGCTCTCCCCAGGACTGGCCCTGGCGGGGCGCCTAGAGCCCCAGTTGCATTGCTCCAGGAGAAAGGAGGGGGGCGGTGCATTTTGCAGGAGGAGGAGGAGGAGGAGAAGGGGGGTGGGGGGTGGGGGAGAGAGAAAATTGCGCGGAGACCTGCCAAGCGCCACCGCCGCCGCCACCGCCGCCGCCGCCGCCGCCGCCTGTGAGCTCGGGCGGGCAGCCGGACTGTCGGCTTCCCGGGGCATCTGGGTCCGGCCGGGCACAGCCCTGGGCGCTGCCGAAGCCGCCGCCGCCTCCGCGGCGAGTGCAGGCTGCTTCCCTCGGAGCCTGTGCCACTCCAGCTCCTCGGGGGTGGAGAAGTGGGGGGTGGGGTTGTTGTTTGGGGGGAAGAAGGGGGAGGGGCAACGCCGAGAGAGTCAGTGGTTTCCATGGTGATGGAGCTGAAAGTGCAGGAAATTTAAAGGCTTGGACCCTGCGAGACAGACAAACCGGTGCCAACGTGCGCGGACGCCGCCGCCGCCGCCGTCGCCGCCGCCGTTGGAGTCCGCCGGGCAGAGCCGGCCGCGGAGCCCCGAGCAGGCGGAGGGAAGTGCCCCCGGGACCCGCTCGGCCAGCGGCGCTGCAGAGAGCTGCAGGACCAGGAGCAGCAGGAGGAGGAGGCGGGGAGACGGCTCGTCCACGCGCCCTGCGCCGCCGCCGGTCCGGGAAGGCAGCGAGGAGCCGGCGCCCCCCGCGCCCCACGGAGTAATTTCGGATGCCCCGCCGCGGCCGCCTGCCCGAATAGACCCGGGAGAGGAGTTGCAGCCAACTTGTGTGCCTTTTTTCCGCCTCTGTGGGAGCCGGCGCAGAGCGAAGGGCTCTCCCCGCGGCTCATGCTGCCGGCCCTGCGTCTGCCCAGCCTTGGGTGAGCCGCCTCGGGAGAGCTGGGGGAGCGCGGCGGCGGCGCCGCGGGCTCGGCGTGCTCTCCTCCGGGGACGCGGGACGAAGTAGCAGCCCCGGGCGCACGCCGGAGGCATGGAGCGCTGCCCCAGCCTGGGGGTCACCCTCTACGCCCTGGTGGTGGTCCTGGGGCTGCGGGCGGCACCGACCGGCGGCCAGCACTACCTCCACATCCGCCCGGCTCCCAGCGACAACCTGCCCCTGGTGGACCTCATCGAACACCCGGACCCTATCTTTGACCCCAAGGAGAAGGATCTGAACGAGACGCTGCTGCGCTCGCTGCTTGGTGGCCACTACGACCCGGGCTTCATGGCCACCTCGCCCCCAGAGGACCGGCCTGGCGGGGGTGGGGGAGCGGCCGGGGGCGCCGAGGACCTAGCCGAGCTGGACCAGCTGCTGAGGCAGCGGCCGTCCGGGGCCATGCCGAGCGAGATCAAAGGGCTGGAGTTCTCCGAGGGCTTGGCCCCGGGCAAGAAGCAGCGCCTGAGCAAGAAGCTGCGGAGGAAGTTACAGATGTGGCTGTGGTCGCAGACCTTCTGCCCCGTGCTGTACGCGTGGAACGACCTGGGCAGCCGCTTCTGGCCACGTTACGTGAAGGTGGGCAGCTGCTTCAGCAAGCGCTCGTGTTCGGTGCCCGAGGGCATGGTGTGCAAGCCGTCCAAGTCGGTGCACCTCACCGTGCTGCGGTGGCGCTGTCAGCGGCGCGGGGGCCAGCGCTGCGGCTGGATTCCCATCCAGTACCCCATCATTTCCGAGTGCAAGTGCTCATGCTAGAACTCGGGGGCCCCCTGCCCGCACCCAGACACTTGATTGACCCCCACGGACTCCCCCAGCCACCGCCTACAACCAGTTCCACCACCCTGGAGAGTGGATTCAATGAACTTTTTTTTTTTTTTTTTGGCTACAGAGACCTAGCTTTCTGGTTCATGTAATGCACTGTTTAACTGTGTAGGAATGTATATGTGTGTGTATATACGGTCCCAGTTTTAATTTACTTATTAAAAGGTCAGTATTATACGTTCAAAGTTACCGGCTTCTACTGTATTTTTAAAAAAAAATAAGCAAAAGAGAAAAAAAAAGAACAGAGAAAAGAGAGACTTATTCTGGTTGTTGCTAATAATGTTAACCTGCTATTTATATTCCAGTGCCCTTCGCATGGCGAAGCAGGGGGGAAAAGTTATTTTTTTCTTAAAGTACAAAGAGAGAAGGGGAACTTTTGTAGAAGGACTTTTAAAAAGCTATTTTCCATTCTTTGGAAAGTGTTTTGGTTTTCCTTGGACCTCGAAGAAGCTATAGAGTTCAATGTTATTTTACAGTTATTGTAAATAGAGAGAACAAATGGAATGACTAATCATTGTAAATTAAGAGTATCTGCTATTTATTCTTTATAATATCCCGTGTAGTAAATGAGAAAGAAGTGCAGAGCAGGATTAAAGAAAAACCACTAAAACCGACTGTGCTCCACACTGCGATTCTCTGTGTTGGTGATTGATGGGAAGGGGGTGGTGGGAGGGGGCGGGGAGGGGGTGCCACTGTGCCTACGCCTGTTGGGAGAAGGGGCACATCCCTCAGGCTCCCCTCTTCTGGTGTGATGGAGGTGACCACTGAATTTCTCAGTGGCTGGACGGGGTGGCTGAGGAAGAAAAGGGGGGTTATTCTCAAACCCCTCACTTGAGCATCACGTGGCCTTCGCCGAGTCTCCCAGCATTTTCTCCCTATGTCACCAAAGCTCGGGCCGTCGTGACCTCGACACCCAGCCGGCCCCCTGGAGCTGACCCCAGGCTGGGCCGAGGGGCGGGGGGGAGGGTGGGCGGCCGCTTTGTCCTGCCTGACAGGCCCTTCACAATGGGGACACGTGTCTTTCACACCTACCCTGGGGGCGGAGTGCCGCTGAAACTTGACCCCCGAGGAATGGGGGGGAGGGAGGGAGATCAGAGCGCGCCCACCCAGATCCCACCACCCCTCCCGCCTCGCACCCCCCACCTCAATATCCAGCCCCGCTTAACCCTTTGCACGCCTAACGCTACAGAGGTGCGGGCTCAGGCGATCCGCCTGAATCGTCACTCCCAGCCTCTGACTTCTTGCAAGACCGAGCTACGAAGGTCCTAGGTCTTAGGTCGAGGTGCAGGGCGTCGCTAGAGATTGGATATTCATGTTACCTCCACCTCCATCTCCACCCCCAGGACCCTTGACGGACCCTGAGAATCAGGGCATCGGATGAGGCCCGAACTGGGTGACAAACGTCAGTTCTGGGACCTGGTGCTGGACGAGGTGCGCCCCCGCCCCCATAGACACCTACTTCCTTGGGGACCTGCGAGAGGAGGGGGAAGAAAAAACTAAAAGTCAAGATCTTTAATCTTTGGGATTAGGTAGGAGCAGAGAACGAGGGTTACGTTTTACATGAACGTGCCAAGTATCATCCACATCCCACCCAGTAGGAGGTCAGCTTCTTGGGGCGCGCGTTGGCCTCTCGGCGGGAGACAGCGGTGGCGCCCAACCGCTCCGCTCCACGTGGGCCGCTCGCTGACACTGCTCCGCGCGCCCTTTATTTATCTTGGACTCCTACGTGGCTCTCCTTTGCCCCCTTCCCACCCCTCTCCCAGCCACCTTCCTGCGCCCCCACCCGGCCCCCCAGGCTGGAGCCCCCCCCCCCGAGTCTATGCTAATTACTGCAGAACTGCGCGCGCTCCGCTGCGCGGTCTCCATGCGCCGGCCCCGCCCGCCCCGTCCCTCCAGCCGGGCGCTTTCTTCCCTCCGCCAGCCGCGGTGGCTCCTCATTTCAATAGCCGGGCCCGGGAGGCGCGCCCCCTCCCCGCGCTGCCTCCGTCAGCCGTGGGACAGACGGGAGGGTATTCATTAACTGAGAGCCGAGGAATAACGGCATTATTCCCCCCACAGAGGGCACCCTGCCCCCGCGACTATCTAAGGCTTCATTGTAAAAGGATTAAAAGTTAAAGACCTCCATCTTATGATTCTTTCATTTAATCTTCCTGGCGCCTGGGAGACATGCTCGATGGATGATGGCTTTTAAAATATTCCTAATGTCGGCTACCTTAAGACTCCAAGCCGGGCAAACAAACGTAATTTATTTCCAGAAGAAAGGGGATATTGAGATGTTTAAGTTTATGAACCGCCGTCCCCCCGTATATTTGTTAAGTTCTGACAAATACCCAAATAACGTTAAAATCAGCCATTCATCACTTATGAATTTATGCAAAACTTTCTGCGCCCCGGGCCAATATTTTTTTAGACCGAGTTTCACTTGTGAGGGGCGGAGGTAGTGGGGAAGGGGGGACCGGGAGGGGGCTTACGGGTGCTTGGGGGGGTACCCGAAAGCAAGAATTTTCATGCCTGGTAAACACGCGAATTATGCGAAGAGAGTTATTCCCAGCTGGGCGGGCAGCCAAAACTCGGAGAGCGCGCGGAGGCCAGCGCCCCCGCCCCCACGTTGGCAATGTCATTGGATTACAATGCGAGGTCTTCCCTCCGCGACGCCCCCACCGCTGCCGCCGCGCCCCTCCTCCCACCCCTGCCCACTTGGAAAACCCGCTTGCAGCCGGCGACTTTCTCAGCTTTCAGAGACTGAGCCGGTGAGCGCGCGCGCGAGGAGCACCCGGGCTGCAGACAGACACAGACAGACCAGCGCCCACTGCACCCCTAGACCTAGAGGGCCAACCCCTCGCCATGCAGGCTGTGGAGCGGGCGCCCAGCGAGACCCAGACTGTTCCAGAAGCGGATCGAGAAGGTGCTGGACCTGGGGACGCTGTGACTAATGCCCAGCTGGCCACGTTTCCATTATTATTAATGTTGATAATCCTAATAATAACTCCGACAGGAAAGAGAGAGCGTTCCGGGCAGAGAGGCAAGGAGATTGTCCTCCTACGTCACCTAGTACCTGCCTCTCCTAAGAGGAAAATTGATCTTGGTGCCTTTCAGGGCTTTGACAGCCTGGGTCTATGAATTTACGCAGCTGCTGGGGGACCCAGGCCTCCCCAGAGGATGAAGATTTGATTTATAACTCTCACGGACACATGCACATCAAATATAATCCTGCAAAAGAGAATAGCTTTCACCATCCGTCCCTTCCCTCAGGATTTCAAGAATTTAAGCCTCTGGTTTTTCAACTTTTCTCTTTATTCCTTCCTTCTACCCTATTGCAGCCCCTACACACACACACACACACACACACACACACACACACACCCTCACTCACACAGGCCAACTAAAGCCAAATGCCCTTGGAAAGCCAGTCCCCCCCTCCCTCTGGGGAGGGCCTTCTGTCTGTCTTCCAGAGTCTGGGAACAGGATCTGGTTCCCTGTTGAGGTGGCTATGACCAGGGGTCCATTATCAGTCTTGCTTCTGAGACTCCTGGGAAAGGGACTTGAAGTTTGGTGGCAGCTGCAAAGAGGAAGCTGACTGCGTATTAAGAGCTCTTAGCTGTTCTGGATGGGGACAGCAGGGGGAGGGCCCAGCCCATATCGGTATTTTGAAGGGGGTGATTCATCCTTTTTCTTTAATGCTCTTGGAATGTCAGAGTGGAGAGGAGCTTAGATTCCGTGCCCACTGCTCAATTTACAGATGAGAAGACTGAGACCCCAAAAGGAACTTGCTGGAGATCACAGAGTGTGATACAGTTGGGCTTGATCAGGTGTCTCTCCCCATTGTTCTTTATTGATATATTTTCATCTTTCCTGACTCTTGGGGGACCGGGGGGGGGGGAGAATTCTCCCCACAGTTGTTAAAATAACAAATCATAATCAGCAAACTGATCTTTCTACTGTATGTATCACACATTTAGGTAGTATTTTCTTAAATGGTCCGAAACTGTATCAGTCCTTTCACAGTTTCAACCAAGTTCTCCAGCTTTCAAGTAAGGAGACTAACTGGTTCAAACCTCTTGGCCAAAGGCACACAGTAAGTCGAGTGGTGAGGACTGAAAAAGCCTGACTGACCCCAAAGTTTTTGCTTCTTCCAGCTTCTCTTCCTCACTTCAGGGTCTTGGACACCTGGCGTAAGAGGGGCAATTATGTGCCACATTGTTGTTGCAGCGTACCATGGAGTGGCAACCATCACTCAGGAGGAGATTACACATCCTTCTCCCATGTTGCAGCTGGTGGACTTGAACCTTGTGTCTTCTGGATGCAGCGCAGCTTCTTGCCACTAGTCTACTGGGGTGGTAAATCTCAAGATCTCTAAAAGTGGATACCTGATAAACCATAAAGAGCCTCTGTGTACTCTCTAATGTGCCAAATATTGTGCTGGGAATGCAGGGAGCTCTGGTGGCCTAGTGGCAAGAAGCTGCACTGCAATCCCAAAGGCACACAGTTTAAGTCCATCAGCTGCTCTGCAGGAGAAGGATGGGCAATCTCCTCCCATGTGATTAACTGTCTCTGAAAACTCATTGGAGGGTCAGCTATGGATTGGTTCCGACCCTACGGTACACAACAACAACAACACAACAGCTGGAATTACAAAGAAAAATCAGAGGACACTCCTCCCCAATTCTAGAAAAACCAAACCCACAGCCATATAGTCAATTCCAATGTGTAGAGATCCTCCATCAATTGTCAGGAGACTCCTCATCTTTCTTTAGTGGAGCAGCTAGTGGATTTGAACTACTGACCTTTGAGATAGCCATAGAATGCATTAATGCTCCATGGCATCAGACAGAACTCTCCAACACACACAGGACTCTCAGGGTGACAAAAGAGGTGAGAAATGAACAGGGTAAGGGTTGAAAGAAGAGTTAACCATCAAGTCTGGGCCAGGAAGAGGAGGCCTCTGTGCTGGCCTGGGAAAGCAGAAAAAGCATTGGACTGCAGGTGAGAAGCACAAAGCGCATGTCAACCTGCTGAGTAGAGATGAAAGACACAGTGCCAGGAAAAAAGCATTTAGTCTATTTGGGACATTGCTCAAACAAACTCTAGTATAGAAATGGATCTATTCTGAGTGAGTAGGTGATAAAGTCTGAAAAATGGGCCAAATCATGAGGTCTTGCAGGAGTCCTGGTGGCAGGCTAACTGA